TTTTGCTGAACAAAAACTGTCATAAAATGATCTGTGGTCCTATTTTTATACTTTATTTTTAGGCTTCATAATTCATTCGACTGGGAAGGGAAAGAGAAGATAGGTGAGATTATGAATTCTCAATCAACTCCCTTCTGCAGAATAGTGTGAAAAATGTTTGGAGAAACACAGAAAATGAGATTTGAGTTTTAGATTAAGATATGAAGATGTTGACTAACCAGTTACCATATTATTTCTACCACTGTACCTCCAACCATGTTTCCTCCATGATACTTCAAAGTACAAAATACGAACGGCTGGGCAAGTTACTATGATTTTCACCTATAGAACAAGACGTGAACGATACAAGACGTGAACGATATCGAAATAGATCAACCAAGTTCTTTTTTTTTTTTTTTTTTTTAATTCCAGTATCATATGATAACTGTATATATGTAATGACAAATTGCCTTGTTACACTGAGATAATGAGTACAACGACAATAGAAAAACATTAAAAACCGTAAAGTCTTAGATGATGTGGTTTGTTCAAGGGTCTTGAGCAATAGATGGTGATGGTGTTGGTGGGTCGCATGCTGTAGTGCCTTTTGCGCAGCTAATGAAGCACATTGTAGCACTATCGTCGGTATGACATTTATTGCAGCAATACGGACAAAAACCTGGGCATTTTAACACAACACATATACATCAATCATAAGGTCGGCATTAGATATATCCTCTTTATTTATTTATTCTTTTAGGGTTCTTTTTGGTTAAAAATTATCAAGGAAGATGTTTCTTTTCCTGTTGCCTTTTCGCAATAGTGCCTCTTTCAACAACTCAGAGACACAGGTTTTTTACTTTGAATAATATCATTGAAAATTTGAGTTTTCCGAGTTTTTAGTGTCAAACTTCTTAATTGTTGAAAAATCAATTATAAAACTTGGGTTTGACCCGGTTTTGACTGAATTTTTTATGGCTAAATATTTTATTTGAGTTGAATTAAATATTGTAAAAAAATTCTACGTTTCGAGTAGATACTCGTGGTATATTTACGTTGTAATCATAACACTTATTGTATAACAATCGCAAGACGAAAATCCGACACCTACTGAACTGATGGTATCCACTGGAGAAGGATCACAAACTCAACCACCTATCACCCCCGCTGTTCATCATCCCCAACCTGCTGCTCATGTTCCCACTGCTGAGAAGGCCGAAAAATTCAACGGGCTTGATTTCAAGAGGTGGCAACAGAAGATGCACTTCTACCAAACCACTTTGTGTTTGGTGAAGTACCTGAGAGACGACCCTCCTGTCGTGGCTGAAAATGAATCGAATGTTGAGCTACGAGCTGCATACGATGCTTGAGGGCAAGATGATTACCTTTGCCGGAACTATGTCCTCAACAGAGTGAGTAATGAGTTGTACAATGTGTATAGCTCGGTTGGTTTTGCCAAGGAGCTTTGAGCTGCCTTGGAAAAGAAATATAAAACCGAGGATGCCGGAGCGAAGAAATTAGTCGTCGGCAAATTTCTGGAATTCAAGATGGTCGACACTAAGACCGCCGTGTCTCAAGTGCAAGATTTCCAACTCATCTTGCACGACATTCATGCTGAAGGAATGTCTCTGAGCGAGTCATTTCAAGTTGCGGCTGTGATCGAGAAACTGCCGCCGGGTTGGAAAGACTTCAAGAACTACCTCAAGCATAAGAGGAAGGAGATGAGTCTTGAAGACCTGGTTGTTCGTCTTTGGATTGAAGAGGACAATCGGAAGTCTTCGGAAAAGGCCCCGATGATGGAAGCTCGTGCAAACTTGCTGGAGCAAGGGAACTCGAGCAAAAGGAAGCCCTTTAACAAAGGGAAGCAGCAACCAGCCAAAGTTTGGAAATTTACCGGCAATTGCCACAACT